TTTGCAGCTGGTGGGCTGGGGGTGGAGGGTCAGGGAGCTCAGGCCGTGGCCCGCAGTTAGCCGAGTCTCCCTGCCAGGGCTAGTGAAAGCCGCTGTGAGTGCCCTCCCCCTTCCCTTTGCTCCCTGGTGTGCCGTGGCTTGGGGAGGGGCTGGAACCGGCTAGGGATCTGGTGCGTTTGTTTGGCTCTAAGGAAGAAGAGACAGGGGTGTAGGGGACCCCTGGAGCAGAAGTCCTCAGGGAACGCTTGCTTAGGCTACGAGAAGCCTGGCAAAACCACCAATTCCAGCTAATGCAGAGGCAAACATCCCCAGGGAGAGGACGCCAGCTACACACACACACACACACACACACACACACACACACTGGAGTCCTTCCTAGTCATTGTGTCCAGAGTGTCTGCTGGGACCTTGTGGCCACACACACACACACACACACACCCTCCTCATCCTTGGGGTCCTTGCATACCAAGAAAGTGGCAGCCAGAGGCCACCGGGAGGAGGAGCCCTTGCTGGGTTGGGGACCCACAGAAGATCTTTGGAAAGGACAGCTGATCTCTTTGCCTGAAGAAGTCCCTTGACAAGGGGCCCCTAGGGAAGGAGCACTGGTTAGGAAGGAGGTGCCAGGGATCGGAGGGGCAGCCCCCCCCCAGCATTCCACACCCTTTGGAAGCACCAGTGTGCTGCCCTCTTCCCCTCAACCCTCATTAACAAATTCTTCTTCTGGTCTGATTTCATCTTCCCTGGTGGTTTTTCAGCGTGCATTCACGTGCCAGTAAACAGCTCAGCTCAGCTTACACTCAGGATGGGTCAACTTCTCCGGGGAAGTCAGCTCTTTGCAGGCTGCAAAAAGGGTTCAGGCTTAGAGAGCTCTGGACAGTGGGACAGGGATTGTGCTCTAAGAAGCAGTTTTGGTGCCTTATACCCTCTGGGACTCAGCTGAGGCACAGGCTAGGGACAGCTTCCATCTTTCAAGTTACTCAGTTTCATCAGCGGCACTGGAGAAAGAGTCTCTTACACACACACACACACACACACACACGTACACACACCAGACTGCACTTCCAAGTGGTTACAGGACCCCCTGCCCACTTCTCAAAGGTACACAATGAAAAGACTATCCCAGAGGTGTCGGACATCGGGACTCTCTCTTAAGGCGTGAAGAGGACAGACTAGCGAGGAGGAAGCAATCTGTCCAGTCTGACCCTCAGAGAGGCATCACAAAGCCTGGGCAGTGGAAGAGACCATGCTCAGCAGCAGCTCAGATGAGGACTGTCTCCCCTTGGGACCGCCTGCTTGGTGGTAGTGCCATATTGAATGCCCTGTCGTGGTGCCCGGCACAGTGCCTGTCCCATTGCATGCATCCAGTTCTTGTTTGCTAAATAAGCGGTGGTCCCCACAGCACATGCCAAACCTTCCATCCCTGCCCTCCTCCTCTTCTAAGAGGTGCTCCTGGCAGACCGAAGAGCCCCGGTAAGAGTTCTTTAGGTTGGGCCACCATCACCTGATGCGAGTTGAAGGGTGCATGGGATGAAACAGCAGGACTCGGCCCTGGGCAGGCACTGGATATTTGGCTATTCATGAATTGCTCAGGTTGAAGTGCATGTGTAACTGAGGCAGAACTGTGGCCTGGGTACAGTGCCCAGCGAGGCCGGACCCAGGGACAAAAGCACTTCTCTGTCCTCCCTCCCCCAGCTCAGCCTGGGGGCATAGTAGAGATCTGAGGCTGGGGCTGGCTCTAGACCCCCTTCCCCCAACCTCTGCCTTTTTTGCTGCCCTTCCTCTGGCTCTCCCTGTCTGGATAGCCTGAGGCCATCAGCAAGCCCCCTCGGCTCCCTTCTAGAGCACAGGGACCCTGCCAGGCTGGGAGCTCCCTCTGTTTACCTGGGAAAGCTCAGGAGCAACGGAGGCTCCTGGGATGACTGGAGAAAGCCCCTAGGAAAAAGGAAATTCATTCTTGACCTCTCCGTGCAGTGATGGGCCAGGGAGCTGTGGGTGCTGGAGATGTGGAGGCGGCTACCTAGTGGCCTGCACAAAGGGAGGTCCTCCCCACTCAGCAAGCACCGCTCCCCAGTTGGGTCTGTAGGGCACTGTGTATGGGAGCCTGCCAGGTCTTTCCGAAACTCGTCTTCTCCTTCAGTCCTGGGTTGGTGACTACACCCATGGACTCATCCCAAACATAGCTCCAAATCTGGAGTCTGAGACCCCTTGGAACTTTCAGCAGTGCTCCCCACCATGGTGGGTGGAGTCAGATTGCCCAGCAGTGCTCCCCACACTATCCCACAGCCTGTTCCAGCTCAGGGACCCTCCTCCCTGACAGCGTGGGGAGCTTCAAACATACACCCAGCCCCAAATATAGAAGCGCCTGGATTTCTCTCTTGTTTTCAAGCTGCATCATTCATATCTTCAACACATCTGAACCTATGTCATTCAGCCAACATCCCAGAATAATGTGACATGCCTCCGACTTAGTACGCCCTGGGTTGGAGCATGAGAAGAGGGGACAGGGCGTGCCTCCTATTCAGCATCTCCCTAGGGCCCCAGAGAGCCCTGCCACCATGGGTGGAGGCAAATCTTTGGGACTGCAAGTTCCCCTGGAGGGTTCAGAAGTCTGTGAAAAGCTCTGAGAGACGTCAGGCCCAGTGTAGTCTTGAGTCTGGACGGAACCTTAGGCTTGACGGATCTCACATCCAGGCACAAGACTTCCTTCTACCCTATCCTTCTGTGTGTCTGGCGTGGCGCTCTGGAATGCTAGTGCACTGGTGTTTGATTTTGTCTGAGGCAGGCAGCTGACCATTGCCTGCTGGAGCCCTGCTCTTGTCCATCCTTTCTTGGGCGGAGGAGCCCATATGCTGAGCTCCGGGCCCTGCCCTCTGTGGCCTCCTGGCTCTCTGTGGCCTCCTCTTCCGTGGAGAGTGGACGGCTTCCTGCCCCCCATCCCCATTCTTCTCCCTGCAAAGGTGGCTCCCTCTGGCTCATTCTCCACCGGAAGCCAATCTCAGGGCCCACATGTGAACGCAGGGCTTCAGTTTCCTGGGCTCCCCAGCCTGTGCGAGGATTAAGGAACTTGTACCCCGCAGAGTCTGCCCCACTGCTGGTCGAAGCCACCCTCCCACCCCGACCTGCTCTTTTAGTCCCCTTCCGGCTGCTTCCTCCTCCCATTTCCACCTGTGTCCCTCCTCAGCCTTCCAGCTTCCAGGTCAGCACTGTGCCTTTTCAGGCTCTCTTCTTTCTCTCTCTCTCTCTCTCTCTCTCTCTCTCTCTCGGGCTTTTCTCACCTTCTTCTCCAGGAGCAAACGCGCCCACCCAAGTGAGTCAGAGCCTCCGCAGCCTTGCTTTTCTCATCCACCGAGTGGGAATAACAGTGATGTTCGCTTTACTACGTGATTATAATTAATGGACATGCAGTACATACACGACACCATTTCCATTCAATACAAGCTCCCTTCCTTTTTCTCTGTACAATTTCTCTGATGCTTCTGTGTGTCCTTCCTCTTCCACAATTTCCTCAATTTTGTCTCTCAGTCCCAGCCCCCTGCCTCTGTTTTGTACCCCACCTCCTTTTACTCCCTTCTGGTTGCCCCCAGCCCAGCCTCCCCCAGCTCCTGCCACAGGCCCAGGGCCCGGGCAGGGCAGGGCAGGGCAGGGCTGGGGTGGTGGCAGTCTGTGCTTCTCACAGAGGCCCAAGAATGTGTGGAGTCATGAGTGACAATGAGAGCCTGCGGCAGAAAGAATGGGGCCTCTGTCCCGGCAGGAGAAGTTTCCCAAACCCTGGGCTCAGCCGAATGGAGTACCTGAGGGCCAGGGAGGGGTGGAAGCCCCATGGCTGCAGGTGGCAGGTGTGGGGGTGGTGAGCAGGGCTCTCCAGAGTCGGGAATCCTTAGCATCTGTTGGCATTTCTGAGGAGAGCTCAGTCCGGGCTCCGGACTCTGGGGGGCAGGGGCAGGGAAAGGCAGAGAGACTGTCCCAGGGCCCTGTGAAGTGGCCTTTGCCTAGAGGTGCTCCTCGGGCTCCTTGGGCCTCAGCTCCCCCCAGGAGCAGTGCTGCAGAAGGTCTGGGCACAGAGGAGACAGGTGAGTCTGTGTCTCTCAGAGTGGTGGGTATTTCCCCTGGAGGCGGAGGCGGGAGGGGAAGGAGGTGAGGCATCTGACCTGCTCCCCTTCCTCCACCACTTTAGCCCCAGAAACACCCTGGGGAGAGACTGGCCCTGCGAGAGCTTACTTGGGGCTGGTCAGGTGGACTGGGTCCAGCAGGCTGGCAAAGGCCTTTTGTGTACTCAGGGCCCCGGAGGCCGGGACTAGCAGGACCGGGAGACTATGGGGAAGGAGGAGGTGAGGGTAGGTGGAGGGGCAGACTCGAGCTGGGCGGGGAAGGAAACTGGACAGACGGGTGCCGACCTCGTCCTCAGGGCAGGGGAGTGGTGGGGAGCGAGCTGGGTCTGCAGGAGAAGAGGAGAAGAACCTGGGCTCTGGAGATGGGAGTGGGGGTGAGGTGGGGGAGTCTGGCGGGCGATGGGGCCTGCAGGGAGCTGCCTCAGGTCTCCTGCCAAAAATTAAACCATAAAAAAGCGGGAGGGGAGCGGCAGGGGAAGGAGCGAGAGAAAGGAGATGGGGGGGTGGGAAGGGACCGAACAGCCCCTCCACACCAATAGCCCGGCAGGGGGACGTGAGTAATACACGGCCGGTTCAGAGGGAGCGAGATCAAAAGCGAGTAGATACAAGAGGTTTGCGCTTCGCCGAGCAGACAGCCAGCGGCTCAATGAGACCTTTGTTGCCCGGCCGAGGCAGGGTTGCAGGGATACCTGACCGCCCCGCCCCTCGGGCCGGCTGGGGGAGGGGCGGGCACCCGCGAGTCAAGTTGAGTTGGGCACAGCCCGGCCGGC